ATAAACCAGTCCCATGAGCGGTGATTCTCGGAGTCGACAACTCCAAATGCAATAGGATATAGATTTGAGTTTCCATCCAAAGCAGTAGGAGCCAATAATACTCCTTTGTATTTGCTTTTCAAAAAAGTTCCATCCAAAACAATAACTTTCCGAATGGCAGCATGAAAACCACGAAGTGACTGACCAAATGAGATGAAGAGGAATTTAAATCTCCCATTGGTATCGGTTTCATAAGCCGTGTATGTTCTTAGATTAGCTTCCTTCATCATGTGCAAGTATTTGGGAATTTTAGCGTAACCTTGCTCAGGAATACCTCTCACTATGTATATTGCGTACTCACGGGCATCCCATGCTAAAAAATATGATATCTCAACTCCATGCTCATCACGCATATAGCTGATGATGTCATTAGGTTTCAGACCTTCCTTAGTGCTTTCATACTTGTGCATTACGAGGGAACCAACAGTTTTTGCTGAAGCTGTACGGACAGAATTGCTCCTTGATGATGGAGCACATGTATGATAAGGTACATACTTTCTGATAATAAAATATAAAGACCCTGTTAATCCTTCAGCACGAACACGCCATGTGCAATCATCATCTGCACAACGAATATACCAAACTTTTGTATCTGATTTGACAAGCTGATAGTCGAAATTGTGTTTCATTGCATAGATTTCTAGTGTCGCCTTCAAAGCCAATTTGCTTGTAAAATGCTGACCTTCTTCACAACACCAACCAAAGAAAATCGGACAGGCTTTCCATTGATCATGTCTTGGTCATCCTTTTCCTTTAGGTTATCATCTTCTTCTTCAACCATGGTTTGATCATCAATAACGTGCACCACACGCTCTTCCTCTCTCTTAGGCGACTCAGTAGTCCATTCTTCATTCAAGTCAAATTCGACGTTGATATTCCTTGTATCCACCTTAGATCGAAAACACACACATAACCGCGTAGAAGCTCTGATCTTCAGATATGTTAGAAATTTTTTGAGTTGCCTATCAATGGTGATGAAAACAGGTGGCGAGTTGATGCTATTCATCAAATCTGAAGGTAAGTAACTCAACTCGATATTGACCTTGTCTAGATTAATTCCAAAGTCTTCACACACGATCAACTTCAGGTGTTCAAAAGATGAACTTGTGTCCACAGTTTGTAACCTACCTCCTTTTCCTTCATCAACAACAAATCGCCATCCATTGCTTACAGACGAGTTCCACGAACCACATGAAGTATACATGTGCATCTTCATTGTTAGATAGCGTGGAAGTGGAAGAACTAGAAGATTANTGTAACCTACCTCCTTTTCCTTCATCAACAACAAATCGCCATCCATTGCTTACAGACGAGTTCCACGAACCACATGAAGTATACATGTGCATCTTCATTGTTAGATAGCGTGGAAGTGGAAGAACTAGAAGATTAGAAGAGGTTTTTTCACGGTGAGAAGAAGAAGAAGACCCACGTTCAAGGCAAAATATATTAAAAAAGGAAATAAAAATATTTAGAGAATATTTACTTTCAGATTTTGCTAGATTTTCGGATGGTGGCTCATAAACCGTTGGTAGAAGATACATTCTACCAAATTTTTCATTAGTTTAACCAGTGGAAACGTAATCCCACGAGCGTAGACAAAACATTAGAACTAAGAAGATATGTTCTGCCAAGGTAGACGGATGGGTCTTTATTATATGCTATGTTCTACTGAAACTGCATAACAAAGAAGGAATGTCAGTTATCATATTCTTCAATCGTAGATGTTTATGTTTTTGGTGTATTACGCATTCTAAGCCCTTTAGATGGATTAGTTGTTAGTAGATTGTACATTCTGAACCGCCGTAGATGGTAGATCTGATTTACTACCCGATTTATCCAATTTTTGAGATTACTATTCCAAACATTTTTTGAATGTAAAAATATTTTTCATATATTCACATGCTACTCTATTGCATATTCTATATTTTTCCTCAATTCTTTACCTTGTAAATTTTTTACTTTGAATTTTTATATACAAAAAGGGTAGTGAAGGTCCAAAAGTGCCAAAATTTGATTTTATTCTAAGGGGACAACAGTTGTGTTTTTCGGTCCTCTTTTAGAAAATTTCCCAAGTAAAAATGGGTAGGAGAAACTCTAAGGGATATATGTAATATTCTCCAAATCTCAAAATACAATACTTAGTAACACTAGTTTTAATGAATTTATCAATAGTATTAAAAAAAGCAAAATTACTATTTGCAAATAGTTTAGGTTGGACCATTTCATTTATTTAGTTTCTATTATTTTGCATACAACAAATTTAGTTATTATTAAATATACGCAAAATAGTAGCATATAATTTAGATATTTTTTTCAAAATAAGATATCAAAAGATATTATTACGTATCCTTTCTAGTATTACATTTTAACAATATGCTTTAATTTTTAATTTTAGATATAGATACTTATTTTTAAATATTTATTGTAAATAATAAAAATGCGTAATTATTTTTTAAAATTTTATTACAAATGAATATAAATTCATTTTTATTAATAGAATAAGAATCAACATTTCTATGATATTTAAACAAAATTCATATTCATAATTAAATCCTTACAATTTTAATATATATAACATAACTTAATCTATTCACTAACTCTTTTACAAATTATATATTAAAAATTAAATATATTTAAAATTATACAACATACTTCAATTTATTAATTAAAAGTTTTAAAATATATTTAAAATAATCAATAGCTTAATTTAAATATAATATCTAAACTGGAATGTTAAAATATAATTTACTATATTTTAATTTGATAAAATAAAATATTAAATTTATTAGACAATGATATTATTTGATTATATGGTTTGAATTATATATTATGATTTACAATTAAAGTTATTTTAGCTTTTTCATAAAATATAAACATTTATCAAGTAAGAGATGGGTTGAGTGTCCTATAATTAATTTATATTATAAAATATTTTAATGTTATAATAAAATAATTAAAGTAGGGATCTAGACATGTTAGGCTGTAACACATAGGTTTAGTTCTAATTTATATCACATCCTAAAACCCAAAAAGTAACCATATATCCTTCGGATAATTATATTAGTTAGGTTCGGATACATCCGAAGTTAAATCAAAAATTTAAAAGCAAAATATAAGAAGTAAATAGTTATTTATAGAGAATTAGATTTTTGAAATACTTATTTAAAATTTAAATACTTATTTCTAGATTCATTTCAAAATGAATTAGAATTGAATATTTGTATTACATATTTATGTTCAAATATTTATACATGTGATTAATTTGGACATTCATATCAATTTGCGGATTTTGCGGGTTTGTGGGTTTTTCGGGTTACCGGTTCAGGTTTGGGTATTAACACTTCAGGTTCGGATATGTTTTGTACGCCCGACATGATCCATTCTGATATTGTTTACATTTCAGACCAGGTACGGATCAATTTTTTTGTTTGGATTCAATTCAGACAATTCAGACTTTGGATTGAATTTTATATAATTTAGACAAATACAAAATGTGATTATATAAAGTTTTCATAGAAAATTTATCTTGCCCTTTCAAAGTGCGGATCAATATCTAGTAGAATCATTAAAATCTAAACTTTTTGAACAACAAAAGATTTTTTATAGAATTATAAAATCATTATACAAACAACACGAGATTTTAGCGAGAATCTATAAACCAATAACACTATATTTTATTGAGAATGTGAGAACTTATAAACCAATAACACTAGATTTTAGAAATTCTCAAAACCATTAAGAATGTAATTCCTATTAACATAAGGTATTGAATCTGTAACTGGAAGTGATTTAATTTTAATGGGGTTTTTAGATGACCGTAGAGAATTATTTGAGATTTTTGTTAAACAAGTCTAGAATCTCACCTAGAGCTGTGAGATTTAGATTTTTATTTTTATAACTAACAAACTCCTCTCAAACACTCTAAAAATATTTAAAGCACTCTTAAATCTCCAACTTAAATTTTGTTTAATAATAGTGAATTTCAAAGTATTTTATAAAATGAAAAGTTCAATAATACTAGATTTTAAAGTAGTTTTTAATATCTAGATTTGAATAACAGCGGATTTGTCATTTTAACACAAATCACCTCAAATTCCTAGTTGAATACACCCAATTATAATTGTATTTTGAGTTGTCTAGGTTTAAACTTGGATTCATAATTAGATTTTCTATAAAATAAAAATGATATCTGAAATTATTTTTAATCAACTGATGAATAAATAAGTTATCTCGAAACTAATTAACTTACACATATAAATACTAGTAAAATAAGTCATGAGTTTAGTTATAATAAAATCTAAACGGACTTTTGAAAAATTTAAACCTAAATAAATTTGGAATTTTCAGGTTAGATTAAGTAAGTTAGATCATAAATTAGGTTAACCAAATTTGCCACCCATAATGAAAGGTGCAACTATCAAACAAGCAATGATGGGGGGGGGGGATGGGTGGGGGTGAACAATTTAGCGATCGGAGCAGTCACAAAAAGACCATGAGTTTCTTCTATATTTGGTAGCATTGTGTACTAACAGCAGTTTTAATCTGCGACGACTAACCACGATTTGAACATTTTCTTATATAGAAGCTAATATAAACCTACTATTAGTCTTATATGGAAAGTATGACATGTTACCGAGTCTTTATACCAAATTGCGGTTACGGTTACGGTATTGCAAAGGTTGTATGTTCAAATTGAAAACAAATTAGTTACATTTTTATTGATAATAAATAGTAAGCGATGTCAAGGACCGTAAATATATGAAGGGACCCATATATATATATATGCATGTCTACAAACGAAAAAAGCACAAACCAAATCTCGACAGAAAACTAAACAAAACCAAACAATGAAGCTTCGCATGTTATTGCTCGTGTTGGTATTATTAGCCGTTCAAACAAACGCAAGCAAGCAAGGAAAGAAAGCAAAAATCCCAGCACTAATAGTTTTTGGAGATTCTATAATGGATACTGGTAATAACAATAGACTCCCAACTCTTCTAAAGTGCAACTTCCCTCCTTACGGAAAAGACTTTCCCGGTGGAGTCGCCACCGGAAGATTCTCTGATGGAAGAGTTCCTTCTGATCTGATTGGTAGTTGTTTGAATTATCTTTACATTTGATATACAAAGATTATTTCTGTTTTATATTGTTATACATTTCTTTTAATCGGTTTTATTTCAGCGGAAAGATTGGGGTTGAGGAAGACATTACCAGCATACTTGAGCCCCAATTTGAAGCCTAAAAATCTTTTGAAAGGTGTAACATTTGCATCTGGAGGAACTGGTTACGATCCGTTAACGGCTAAGCTTATGGTGCGTTATTCTTGTTATCAAAGTTAATTAGCTTTATTTTATAAGTAATATAATTTATATTACACTAATCTTTTTGAAGTCAGTAGTGTCAGTATCGGATCAACTAATATATTTTAAAGAGTATATGTCAACGATCAAACAACACTATGGAAAACGAAGAGCTCAATATATCTTGGACCGTAGCATTTTCCTCGTGGTTTCTAGTAGTAATGACCTTGCTCACACTTACATAGCCCAATCTTATAGATATAACTCTACCTCGTATCCTATTTTCTTGGCTGAAGCAGCAGTTAAATTCGTAAAAGTAAGTAGTTTAGACTTATTCAAATATAAAAATCAAACAGTAGTGAAATTCTATCTACTATTATTTATTTATTTTTATAATAATTAGGAATTGCACAAGCTTGGAGCTCGGAAAATTGCGGTGTTTGGTGCAGTCCCTGTTGGATGTGTACCACTTCAAAGAACAGTACGTGGAGGTGTACTAACAAGAAAATGTGTTAAACCTTTAAACAATATGGCAAAAAAATTCAACGCTAGACTTTCTCCAGCATTGAAACATTTAAATAGAAAGTTGGATGGTATTATCCTCTACGTGGATGTTTATGACACTCTTTTTGAGATGATCCAAAAGCCTAAAAAATACGGTTAATTCTTCTCACAAATATATATATACATATATATACATTCCTTAAAAGTGTGAACCAATCTTTAAGCACACATCTAATTATGTTTCAGGTTTCGAAGTAGCTGATAGAGGGTGTTGCGGTTCTGGTTCTCTCGAAATTTCTTATTTGTGCAACTCCTTTAATCCAGTCACGTGCTCTAATTCCTCGGCCTATATATTTTGGGATAGCTACCATCCAACTGAAAGAGCTTATGAAGTTATTGTTGATAAGTTACTGGATAAATACTTAAGCAAAGTCATTTGATGTTAAACATCACCCATATCTTTGCGTTTTCATTGTATTTATCCTCTTTATTGTTTTATGTATGTGATTCCTTAGTGAATGTTCAATGTCTTGTGCATTGAAACAATTTGAATAAAATCTAAATGTTCTATGTTTGCAACCAATAATCTTAATGTTTTGAAATGTGATTCTACCCAATACATATGATTCAAAATATCAATACGGAATGATAGCCCATAGATCCAAAGGAGTCTACTCACTAATCTTCATGATTAACCTTAAACCCATGGTTGATTTAAGAGAAGTCATGTAGAAAAGCAAGTTCAAACAATCACAAAGAAATAAGAAGAAAATGAACTAAAGATTCAATCTTTCTTAAGGTTTCAATGTGTTCTTGGAGAGAAAAGAAAATACTCCTATCATTAGGGTCTAAATATATTTATAGGGTTCTTAAAAACCCTAATGGGCTCAGTCAACAAGCTGAACAGGCCTAACAAAACAAAAAAATCGTCCAAGGAACAATGCTGGCTCAGTCACAGAAGATGGTTTTAATTGGTTTATTCTTAACCAAACATCTTAAAATCAAGTAAACCAAAGCAAAATCCAATTAAATAAAACAAAATCTTCTTCTGTTGTAAAATAAATCCATTAAAATGTTTACATAAGAATGTTTACGGTGATTCAGGTGGGGATTTAATTGGATTTTCATTTGATTTACTTGATTTTAAGATGTTTGGTTAATAATAAACCAACTAAAACCAATTAAAACCATCGTCTGTGGGTAATTAAGTTTTGAAGTATTGATTCGGAGAGAAATAAGTTTGCAATTTTCAATTTGTGAGAATCTAGCATGAAATCATAGTTCGGTGGGGATCTGATTCTATATGATAATTCTGATGGATACATACTACTCACATTATTAAACACAAGATGATACACATATCCTCCAAAAATAATATTAATTTGATTGTTTTGTAAGTGTGGCTTTGCTGATATCTTATGAATTTGCATGATTTTAGCTATCATTTGATATATATAATTGATCATTAAGATTAGCATTTAGGCATTATTAGATTGCATTTTCATTGCATATGTCTTTATTAGGTATTGGAGAACCCTTATGGAGTTTTGGAGGTATTTAAGAGCATTTGTGGGCATGGAGCGACGTACATCACCCGCTCTGCATTTTTGAGTTATGGGGCAATGCCAGAGCGACCAGTCAGAGCGACCAGCAGGGGCCGCTCTAATCAAAGCGAGTTCCAGAGCGACCAGAACGAGCCGCTCCACATCAAACGCTTCTTAGAGCGGGTAGGCGCAGCAGCCAAGGTACCCCGCTCTGGACAGGACACACCCAGGAAATTAAATGCTCCAAGTGCCAGAGCGGGTGTGTGGGAGCGACCCATCACACCCTCTGTACATTGAGCGCATCCTGGAGCGGGGTAGCGCAGCGACCCATCACACCCGCTCAAGCACTGTTCCTTGGACGATTTTTATGTTTTGTTGAGTCTGTTCAGCTTGTTGACTGAGACCATTAGGGTTTTTAAGAACCCTATAAATACATTTAGACCCTGATGATGGGAGTATCTTCTTTTCTCTCCAAGAACACATTGAAACCTTAAGAAAGATTGAATCTTTAGTTCATTTTCTTCTTATTTCTTTGTGATTGTTTGAACTTGCTTTTCAACATGATTTCTCTTAAATCAACCATGGGTTTAAGGTTAATCATGAAGATTAGTGAGTAGACTCCTTTGAATCTATGGGCTAGGGTGATAAAGGGTGATTAGAGAAGATCTAAGAAGTTTAGTGTTAGATTTACTTGTTTCCTTACTTGTTGAGGGGTCTCAATGTCATTTTAGTCTTGACCATAATAAAATGGATCTCTAGACATTTCTTGTCCACTAGGCATTTCTTTTCATACTTTATCTCTCAGATTCGATACAGAAAACTCAAAATTAGTCGATAACAGAAATATGCTCCTTTGATTTACATATTGAATGTCCTGAACCAGTGTAGAGTTCCATCTCTGAGTAAATGATCTCAGTAACACATAGATCAGTGAGACTAGCTTCTGTGTGCAGTTTCGCAGGCTTCAGTGGAGAAACATATTGGCTCATCTGATCCGTTTTAGGGTCAAGAAGGTTCAAGAAAGAGTGACAGAAACATATTGGCTCATCTGATCCCCCTATAATTTTAGTGTTTCAGATTGCTGTTAAAAGTTTGATTTATGTACAGTATTAGGGACTAGAGAAACATGAAGTGTTGAAGATGACAAAGTTGTTGCTGCCATGCATGGAGACAATGATTAAAATCTCAAAAAAATTAACAGAGGCATATATTAATTGCATGTATGTGTAATAGTGCTGGTATCAACTTTTTTTTTTTTGTTTCAGGTGTATGATATATCAAATTATCCTTTAACTTCACTGCATCCTCTTTAATGCCAAGAAAAAAAATGGTATTCAACCAGTCAAATTCTTAATCTCAAAGGTAATTGTTACGTTCTCTTTCTCGCATGTACATATAATTTCTTAACTATGCTTTCACATCAACATATCATTTAGATTAGAGTATTTAATTGAGTTTACATGGTTTAGTCATATCTGATGTATTGCTTATAAGTTATGTCATCTTATATATTAAAAGAGAAGTCATCACTTCACTTTATGTGTGATATTTTAAAATGGACCATCTGATAAAATTTATAACTTTACATTATTCAATCATTAATAACATTCATTAGATTCACTAATAACATTTATTGGGCTTACTAGAAATTTTTATTGGGCTAATAAAAATTAGATGATCCATTGGATTTATAGATATTATAATAAAATACATGTTTAAATTAAACTTATATAAATTAATATTGTAATAGTATAAGTTAATTATTTATATATTTTTGATGTTAACTTTAAAAATTATATAGTTTATTTTTAAAAATAACAAAATCATCATTTTCTAACAATAATTAATCTATACTATATAATAATTAATCATCATTTTCGATATATACACCTTATATAATATATGCCAATTTAGAAGTAAAAAAAATGTTTATATAAAAATAAATGAAAACAAATACCCGCGCAACCTAGTTTAGTTTAAAAGGTATAGCATTATACTTGAAGTACAAAAGATCATTTATTGTCAAGCTAATGAGTAAATTAAGTTCAGAATTTAGTAATTATTTTTTCAATTGTTTACTGATTTTTAAATGCAGATGGAGATAGTGAATAAAGTATTGGTAAGCTCTAAAGTGACCGATTTATAATTTATACTTTTCTAATGCTATTGTGAATGAGGTTCTTTTGAACTTTCGATTTTGTTCTTTTTAAAATTAAACTAGATTTTGGACCCGTGCATCCGCACGGGTGTAAGTTCTAAATTATTATATGTTTAACATGTATTTGACATTTTCATAATTTTTTGAGTTTTGAGATTGATGTATTTTGTTAAATCTTTTAGTGTCCAAATATAAAATATTTTGTTGTACTGATGGTTTAGAAATATGGCAACATATTGTGTTTTATAGATTAGTAAGTACGATATGTTGGGAACGAAGGATTAAGTGGTTTAGTGTTGGTTTATTAATAAGTGAATAAATAGTTTATTGATGATTTATTAATAAGAAAAGAATTGGTTTAGTGATGATTTAACAATTAGAGAATAAAAGGGTTTACCGATGATTTAATAATTAAGAGAATCGATTGTTTAAAAATTTAAATCAAAACCGTGCGTTGGTTTATTAATTAAAAAAATTGATGGTGTTGGTACAAATTTAAATCAAAACTCTGTGTTTTAAAGGCAGTGACATAAGAATGTAATTTTTGTGAAAAATTCAGGAGTAAGTATTAAATGTACTTCATTTTTAATAGATTAGATAATATTTATATGGTGTTGTTCAAAACAAATATAGTTATCCAATATATAAATTTAATTTAGAAAATATTTTAATAATTTTAGGAAAGTATGAAAGGCATAAACTTAGGAATACTTATTATTCTATTACTTGTATAGTACTTTTACTTATACTCTTACTTTATAGAAATAATTGTTCTTATTTAATATTTGATTTGTAACTCTAAAATTATGTACATTATGTTTTTTGTTCAATTGTTGTTATTATATTATTTTTGATTTTCTCATCACTCATTAATCAATATTAATATAATTTACATATATAAATTTCAATACATAACTTGATATATTATTAATAATTTACATAGATAACTTTAAATTTTATTACTAATATATATGTATATAACATTTTTCATATTTTGTTATTTTTATAAGTGTATAATCATTAAATCAATTTTGATTAGTTTATTGGGATTTATATCTAGGGTTTAATTTTCCAATATTGAAAATATTAATCTAATTCTGAACATCAAATCATATAGTATAAGATATAACCGTATTTTGTAGAAATGAGCTGATGTCACTCCTTCTTGATAAAAACAGATTAATGAAGCATGAATCAACACCGAAATTTCATATTCCCTATGTTCCTAAAAGATCTATATTTTAGTTTTTCACATTTTGTAGTAAAACACAATAAATTTGTATAATTTTTTGTATTTATCTTTTTTTCCATAATTTTAAACCAATAAAAATCAATTAGTGCAATTAGGTTTTTTGAAGTTTATAATTAGTTAATAAAATATGTATTGAAAATGTAAAAAAATGGATCTTTTAGAAATAATTTTTTTTCTATAATATGTATCTTTAAAGAACGGAAGGAGTATAAGATATAACCCTTTACGAAACACCACAATAATGCTTTCAGTTCACTGCTCTAAACACACACCCCATATTTCAATAACACAGCTAACACAGAAGAAGAAAAGAGAATGCTTTTCTTACGTTTTTTGGAATTCGAAGAAATAAGATAATTCAACTACTACATAATATACCTTAAAAAACAAATGTCTTCACAACATAACTCGTAGAAGAACGCTCCTAGAGATTCATGGCTTCAGTTTCTAAAATCTATGAGTTTCCATTGACCAAAGCATAATCCA